GGACAGGGGGACGGGCCCTGGGGAGGGGGACAGGCCCTGGGGAGGGGGACCCGATGGGATGGGGGCACATGGGGACAGGCCCTGGGGCCCCGGGGACATGCACGTGCCTTGGGAAGGGGAGGACGTGGGGACAGGAGGACACAGGGACAGGGCGTGGGGTATGGGGGGTGCCTTGGGGACGGGGGACGCAGGGACAGGCCTTGGGGACAGGAGGACACGGGGATCGACTCTGAGGCCTTGGGGACAGGGCTCTGATGAGGACAGGCTTTGGGGATGGAGGGGACTGATGGAGATGCCCCGCTGCCACCCTGGGCCGGGCTCAGCGGGTCCCACGGCGTCAGCATCAGGATTAGGCTTAGGCTGACGGTTAGGGGCACAACGAAGCCCGGGAGCAAGGTCCGGCCCAGCGTTAGGGTTAGTCCACGGTGGCTTTTACACTGGGCCCCGAAAACTTAACATAAATATTTCTGAAAGAAAATCAAATCCCTCCTCTAGGTGAAGTACCCCCTCGGCTGCGGGGAAGAGCCACCTCGTCCCTGAGCCCTGGCGGCGCGCGGCGAGCTCGGGAAGAGGCTTTCACAGAGCTGCAGCAGGGCAGGAGGCCGCTGTCTGTCTGTACGTCCTTACGGTGTACGTGGCAGCCGCAGGAGTGCCTTGATGGTAAATAACGGGCTGTCGCACAAATTGGAGTCCTTTATAATCAAATGCGTCCTTGCCATTAATTGTTTTCCTACCAAATCAAAAAAAAAGCCTCTTCCTAATTTTTTGCCAGATCATCTTTATATCCAGTTATTAGCAGCAATTTTCTTCAGCTATCTAATTAGTAATAACTTCAGATCACATGGGCAAGAGACAGAGTAGTCTGGTTGCACAGTCATCCATATTCTACCCCCTGGCTGGCCGCTGGTCAGTGGTGAGTGCTGGGACACGCCGGTCAATCTCTGCTTTGATTTCCCCGTCTGTAAAACGCTGAAATTGTTAGAAACGTGAATATTTTGAGGTGAAGAGCACTGTAAAGCGCACCCAACGCCACTCTGCTAAAACACCCTGCCGAGTTTTCCTCCCTGCGGTGGGAAAGGAGTGTGTCAAGATTGTTTCCTGCCCTGCATGTGGCCCAGCTCTGTCTCACCCTGACCAGTCATTAATGCTTAGAGATATCGAATCCAAGATGTCACCGCTAGCAAAGAGCAAAAAATGATAATTCCAGAGAGTTCTCACAGGTTCTGCAACCGGGGAAACCCCCAGAGAAGAAGTACGTGTTCACAACTGCAAACGCTTTTATAAGGGGGACCTTTTTTAATACATGACCAGCAGATGGGGCAGCAATCCTCCTGGAAGGAGCCCGCCGGCGAGGAAGAGGCTGGGGATGAGCCGTCGCAACGGCTGTCTCCATCCGCCTACCCTCGCTCGTTGGCTTATTCCAATGCCTTTTAATCTACATATTTATATGATATACTTTCTTTCTTTAACTGTTTAAATTTGTTAATTGAGGGACAAGTTTCACCTCCTGTCAGATCTGTTTGAAGGTGGCCAACAGGTTTCTGGAAAGAAGAAACAGCTCAACCGCATAAACGTGCCTTTAGAAAAACAAAATAAAACTCAAACTCTTGTCTACTCCTCTGAATTCAGGCCTGGGCCCTCACTTCTCCTTATAAACTCTGCAGAAGCCTACAGAAGACGTGATAGAGACCTGCATGGACTATTTGGATGCAAAAAAGTTTTGTCTTGGAGAGCTGCTGTCCTCCCAGGTGGGGCTGCGGGAAGCAGCGGGAAGGGGGATCTAAGGCACTTCCCAGACTCACCGCGCTGCAGATTTAAGTACCACGATTTTAAGTACTTCACTTTCCTGCTGCGATGTAGCGCTAACTGCTGTTGCAGGCAGTGGGAATTCCCACGCCCTTCGCTAACACTTTGAGGCCAATACTTCTTTCATGATGCTTTAAGAAGTAGTGGATGCAGCTCCTGTGCTTCCTCCCCTGCCTCCTCCAGTTTGGTGGCTGCCACGTGTTTCCTATGGTGTGAAACATCCCTACTCCATGGATTTCCTCTTGCATTGGCTAATACCTTGAAAGTTAATTCAAGCAACCCATGATTATCCTGTGGGGAAAACTGTTTTGGTCCCCTTTCACCCTTACGAGCAGTTTTATCCACTTGCCTTTTGTTTGTGTAAGACATTATAGAAATACTGCTTGCAAGGAGAACCTGCCTTCCACTTCTGGAAAAGGGGTTTTCTTTTAATCTTCAAGTTGCAAAGTCCTCCTGGCATTGCTTGGACAGTCTAAAACTCAGACCATCATTTAACCTGAGCTTTGCCATTGCTTATCAGGGATGGCTTGGATATAATTTGCGCTTCTTTGTAATTAGAAAAGGCTGGTTATTCTTAGGAACCTTAATTAATTAAATTAGAGATGATATTGAGGGAATAAAGTGTTGACACAGCAAGCTAATAACATCCTGCTGCTAAATAATCTCCACGAAGATGAGTCGTGGTCGGAAAGGATGGCAAAGCAATCAGCTGAGCAGAGCGGGAGCTGCGGAGTCTGCAGACGTGGGCTTGCCAGCCAGACTGCGTCACTGTGCCGGTCTCTCTGCCAGCTGCGCAGCTGGATTTTGACTGGCCTTAACTATATTTCAGCCTAGGGCTACTCAGTAGATTCTGGGCCAGATTCGGACTGTGAGAAAAGTTTGTTTGCATCTCACTGAGGCCCCAGATATGTGGTATCTGCTGCACCCTTGCAGGATTCACATATTTGCTGCCTATTCACATAGCTGCTGCCCGTTGCCATCAAAGTGTTGTAGCAGGGCTGGGGAGCTGCGTCAGCTGCAGCCAGTGCAAAGCATCCCCCCTGAGCAGACTTTGCTAAAATTACTCATTAAATTATTCATTAAAAACAGAGGAAGTCTGTGTCACAATGTAGCACACTGTGAAAGTGGCACGAGCTTCATGTGCAACTTGGTGCTGTGCTAGAAATGCCTGGTCAGGGGCAAGTTTGTCTTATTATTCATTGTCATTATTGTCCTCGTGGTGGAACAGAAACGTTCAGTGAGGTGCCCTGTAAACGTAGGAGATGACCAGAAATCGGGAGCAAAACAAAAAAAAAAACTTCAAGCACATAGTTTTAAGCCAATCTGTATAATTTCTGGACAGAAAAGTAGAGTTTGTAACACAGGTCTATCTGAGCAGAAAGATCCAGTCCCCAAAATAATAGCTGTTCAACATACAAGGTTGTTCAAAGACCCGATGAATTAAAAACAAGATTTGCTTTTACTTTTGCAGCTCTGGACAAACTGCCTAAAGTTGCAGTCTAAACCAATACTGCCTAAAATGGCAAGTAAACTGCCTGTAAAGTTGCAACCTAAACCGCAAACCTGATGTTAGCAGCGTTGCCATTGCTCGGCGCAGAGGGAGCAGGTGCTGCGGTGCAAGGCCAGGGCTTTGGGACAGCCGGGACGCCCGAGGCAGGGCAGGGCGCTCTCCCGGGCAGCCGAGGGGTGCTGCAAGTGGCTGGGTGGATGCTGGCACCCAGCTGGATGCAACAGGAAGGGGTCAACCCGCCGCGGAGCTGGTTAGGCAGGAGGGCCCAGTGGGCAGAGCACTGACCTCCCATGCCG